CAGGACCAATAAAAAAGAAGCCCCCGTCCATCTGTTCTTTTGTTGCTGGTGCTGCTACCAGTCCTAAACGAATGAGACCCAAAACATCATCATCATTAAACGAAACCATAAGTGGAAACGACAGTAATAGCCCTGAAGCCGCGCGAAAGGTGAAGAACTACACTAGGAAAACCCATGAAATTCCCATTCTAGAGTCGGGGCACTTGTCCGTGGATGAAACAACTACTCCAGTTAGAGTGAATGGTGTTAGGAGGGGGTCTCGTATAGTGGAAATCGTAGACCTAAAATGTGGAAACCGTGAAAAGCAATGGCCAACCCTTAAGAAGTTTAGTTTCTCTAAGCTCTCGGGAACCGCTGTTTAACCTCCAACCTCTAACACGTCCCCATGCTTCTTACATCAAGAAATTACCCCTTTTAACTCTCTGCATTATGCAACTTGTGTCGTAGTATATTATGATTCCTCTACAGATCAAGAATTAGTAGATCTTCCACCATTTTCCCATTTGTATGATTGGATGAAAGGATGAAAAAATTGGATCTCTTTGGCCTTAAACCCAGATAATTATATAATGACTAGGCTTCATGAGTTTATGAGCATTTGTCTTTACATTATTCATAGTATGATGTTGAAACTATGACAGAGTGCTATAGTATAAGAGCCTCTTTTTGTCATTTGTATTTTCTCATTTAAATATCTTAAGTCCCATTATGTGAAGCACTCTAAATTACAACGGTTTGACTGTTTGAGGACACCCGCAACAATTTAATTACTCCTACAGTAACATGATGGAGTAGTAAACCGGCTGTTTTTATTACAATTCCAAATTGACAATTGCTTATTCTTAGAATGTAATTATGTATTCTTTAAAATGCATTCTTTAAAATTTCAAATTGACAATTAATTATTCATAGAACACAATTACTTGTTCTTAGAGTAAATTCTTTAGAATTCCAAACATCTTACACATCCAATATAATAAAAAGTAGTCTTAGAATACATTGTTTATGTATATAGTATAGATTGCAAAAAAATAGGAATGACACCAATAGTAGTAATAGCTTTAGGAAATACAAAAATGTAAATGCTTTTCTTCTTTTCTAGAAGGGAAAACTGTCAAATAGATCCTCAAACTTTCATAAAAAGGTCAATTAAGTCCTTCTATAGGAGATTCTGTCTGGCCGTCGTGATTTGGGGCAGTTCCCGATGAAACTTTTTGATGAAATTTTTTGAGCATCTTATTCACCAAGTCTAGTTTACTCATTCCAAGTTTCAGCTAAAAATTCAATCGGGAACACATTCAAATTAATTCTTGAAGATAACTGCGCATTTTTGCGTTCTCGAATTAATTTGAATGCGCTCCTGATTAAATTTTTAGCTGAAATTTGGTATGAGTAAACTAGACTTGATGAATAAGATGTTCAAAAAATTTCATCAAAAAATTCCACCGAGAACCGCCCCAAATCGCGACGACCGAACAGAGTCTTCTATAGAAGAACTTAATTGACTTTTTTATGAACCGCCCCAAATCGCGACGACCGGACAGAGTCTTCTATAGAAGAATTTAATTGACTTTTTTATGAAAGTTTGAGGACCTATTTGACAGTTTTCCCTTTCCAGAAATAAGACTTATCTAGCTTATTACTTACCCAGCCCATTCGTTTCGTCTCTTCTTCATCGAGCGTGAGAATGAGAAACCATTCTGCTCCTAGATCGATCTTTCTTCTTCGCACCAAATCAATCTTTCTTCTCCACACCAAATCGATCGTTCTTCTCCACACCTCCGCTTGGAGTGTCTTTCTCGCAGGCATCAATTCATCGCCACAATCGTTCGATCGCCGCAAACACATATCAAAGTTTCTTCCCCTTCTCCCAATTTCTGCATCTATGGTTATGTGTAAGGACGGTGATGTTTGGGAGTCGACGACAACGCAGGTTTCAATGGACAACATAGGCTTTGCAGATCTAGTGGGTGATGGTTGGAACAGATCTGGCGGAGACAATTTTGACTGCTGGACGATCTGGTGGCGATGGTTCCGATGAGTTTTGAGACCGTTAGCGTTACATGGGTTAGTTAGTGGGGGTGGTGTAGGGACGGTGGATTGGTGGCCTGGAAGTTGAGCTTGGAAGGGGGTTGGTAGGGTGGCTGGATTTCTCACAGGGCTGGGGGCGGGATTTGGGCCAAGGCCAGGGGACCGGAGACGGGGAGGGGGTTTTGGGTCTGCCGGAATGTTATGGCGGCTGGTGGGGTCACTGTTTTTTGTGGCGGCTGTCAATGGCAGAGGTTGCCGGGTGTGCGGGTGCAGGGATTTGGGAGGCGTCAGTGGTGGTGCTGTTGAGTGGCGGCCAAATTTTAATGAATTTAAGTTTCCGGGAATCACAGTGACACCGGCGACTGTGGAGATGTGACCGTAGAGATGTCACTGTGGATGTGTCACGGTGGCCGGCAGGTGGCGTAGATGTCATTGTGGTCGGCAGGTGGCGGAGATGTCATTGTGGCCGACGGTGGCGAAGACCTCACTGTGGCCGGTGGCGGCGAAAATGTCACTGTGGCCAATGGCGGCAGAGATGTCACTGTGGTCGGTGGTGGCGGAGATGTCACTGACTCACTGTGGCCGGTGGCGGCGGAGATGTCACTGTGGCCGGTGGCGGCGGAGATGTCACTGTAGAGATTAGCTGGGGAAATGTCACTACGGAGAAGTCACTACGGAAATGTCACTGTGAATTAGTCACATTTTTGTCCAAGTATAAATGTGGCCACTTTTTGGAAATTAGCTTTAATTTAGTACTATTAAGGGGAAAACCCCAAAAAATATACAAAAATAGATGGCGCATGCATCCCGAACTTCAGCATTTCCATCTTTTAACAACGGTTCATCGCTTCTGATGCTCTTGTAAACCTAAAATAATAAGCAATTACATAATTAATAATCAAGGTGAAGCAAACAAACAAATAATGGATAAAATATTATCCCGAGATTTAGTGCAATTCAGCTATGATGTATTTCCTATCAAAAATAATGTATATAGGACACTCTGACAGTTGACCTCCTAGAACAGAGCAGTAGATGCATCCGTTCAATAAAAGTTCTGCTAAATGCTTCTTCCTTGGCTAGCCCACTTAGATATACAACTAGCTGCCCCTTTCTCTACATTTTAAGTTTTAACATTAACTTTTATATATATTGGCCTGGCTCCAAAGTTTGAGAGTTTGAGAGAAACATGCATGATATTGATATACTACGGCTATGTTTGCTGTTGCTTAAATTTTAAAAAAGTGATTTTGAAAAGTGATTGTTGGAAAAGTGATTAATGGTAAAAATTGAGAGTGTTTGAGAATAGAAATGATTAAAATGAAAAAGTTAAAGTTGGAATGTTTGGTAAAAAAGTGATTGTTTGGTAAAGTTGGGTAAATGAGATGGTATAATTTACAAAATAACCTCAAAAGCAGATAGAAGCAGCTGGGAGTAGTTTCCAGCTTCTACCCCAAAAGCACTTTTATAAAAGCTAAAGCAGCCTTTTGCAAACACTCCAAACTGCTTATTTTTTTAAAAAAAAGCCAAAAGTGCTTTTCACAATCAAAGGAAAACACAGCCTACGTACATAATAAGATTTTGACCCAAAGCTTGGTAACTTAAACATTAAGCCGATATAAAACAAAGAAGTGGAAAAGACAATTTTGAGCTTAAAGATCCTATCAGACATCTTTAAAGGATTAAACGGTCATCTTTAAATAGAAAGTTGATAATGTTGATCAGATTTAATACTAGCTAGTAAATACACTAAAAGATCCTATCAGGCATGTCTTCCACAATTCCACTTGCCCCTTCCATCTGTTAAGAGCCTGAAAAAATTATTAGTTTGCATTTAAAAGTACAAATCATCTATGTCTGACTGTAGCAGTTTTGTGTCGTTAGACTCGTTACTCTACAATCGCTCTTGTTACTTTTTCTCTATTGTAACGATATTTAGAATTGATGGAAATGTGTGTTTCATCACACTAGAAGAGTTACCACAATTGTTACCATTAATTGAAGTTTGAGTTTGAGTTTGGACCCCATATTATTATTATTATCTAAATTAGACTTTGCACCCCATTTTTAAAAATCTTTGTTTTTGCACCCCAATCACATATGAAAAGACCAAAATGTCCTTCCATTAACAATTTTGTTGACCTTCAACATATTCCTGGTTGAGGGCATTTTTGTCTTTTCACATGGGGTTGGGGTGCAAAAACAAAGATTTATAAAAACGGGGTGCAAAGTCTAATTTAGACATTATTATGGGGTGCAAACTCAAATTACCCCTTAATTGAACACAAGCGTAATCGTTTTTAATTTTACAAAAATGTACTCCCTCCGTCCCACTAACAATGAGACAAGAGGGAGTGTCACACGAATTTATAAAAAGTGGTTTATGTGGTTGATATTGAATTGATAAAGTAAGAATAAAGTAAGAATGATTTAGAGCCACACAAACTTTACCATATAAGATATGAGACAATCTTAGTAGAACGGACCGAAATGGTAAAATGAGACAATCTTAGCGGGACGGAGGTAGTAACACTTTAGGAGTATGTAACAAATATCAATTTATTATCTAATGTAGCACTTATACTACGTATAAATATACAAAGGTGGGGATGATAGTAGGGGCCACGGTGGCCTCAAGTTCAGCCAAGCCAAAAAAAAAAAATTAAAGGTCACTAATCAGAAGTCTTAAAGATTAGTTTAAAATGTGATTCATAATTTTAATACTTATGATTTTTAAATTTATTTATTGTTTAACGAGAAGAATTTTATGGGACAGGAGTATTGGAATACTTCACTATTAACTCTAATTACGGGTGGTGGTGTGCGGTAGTCACTGTGGCCTGCAATTGGTCACTGACTCATTTGGTCATGGTCACTGGAAAATAATCACTTAGATTTAGGAGTATAAAGAGTCACCAATCTATTTTTTGAATTTTAATAACGGATCCTTTGTTGTACTTGTCCATATCTTTTGGTATTATTTATCCTAACATTGTCAAAACCTAGGCGATAGTTTAAATTTATTTAAAATGAACCACAACGCCGATCAGGTTGTTCAAGTGAAACATAACAAGAAAACACATTCAACATCACAAGTAGACGAAGGACTACAAAATCATAATAAGCAGACCAAATTCTGCAGTTCAGTTATAAACTACCCAGTACCAGAAGCTGATCGATCCAGTATCTCCGACAATTCCGTATGTCTGAATCCATCAACCTGAGCCAACATGCTAGCCAATTTTCTGTTCGGAAATATGTTATCACAATATCACTTATCAGCCTTCATTATCTCACTCATTCCATAAGCAGGAACTTTGGCATTTATATATGCCTGAAGAAGTGTTTGGAATTGTTTAAGCCGGGATGTGTACCCCACCTGCCTCATTCTGTATAACATCTTCTCACAGTTGTGTACGTCGCCTTTTGCTGCATATTTCTCCATGATGGTGGCATAGGATCTGTACAGTGGCATTTTCTGACGCTTTGTGGCTGCATTTTTCAGTATAGAGTCAGCCTTTTCCACTTCTGCAGCATTACAATAAAGCTTAACAAGTGCATCCCAAGTGAATGGCCCCACCGGGCAATGGTTTTGTCCCATCCTCTTTACAAGCTCATTCAATTCCCTTTCTTCAACATCTTGAGTTTTGCATACACACTTAATAAAACATGGTAAGCTGTCGAAATGAGATCTTCTGCCTCTTCGTTTTTCTTCAAAGTTCCCAAGCAGGAATCGCAAGCTTCCCAGATTCTGCTAACTTCCTCTGCCTTGCCAAGGGAAGTATAGAGAGGAAGCAGCAATGTGCGCACCAATCAGCTATCCTTCTCATTCCCTCCTTCCATCCCCTTCATTACAGCCTCGGCTTTTTCATTGTGACCACCAGCAATGTAGTGTATGTCCATTGATCCTTTTATGTAGACATAAGGTTCGAATCAATGGCTTTTCATCGTCTGTATAATTTTTTCCATGGCATCTATGCCCTTGAGTTGGCCCTTGATGTCGACCAATAATAGGTATGTGAAGTGAGATGGCTTCAACTCCGTCTTTGTCCATGAGTAACAGCGAAATTTTTCTTCTTCAAATTTGCCTAATAATAAAATATCCAAATTCAAAATTATTAATATTATACTTACACACAAATAAATAAAATCTAAATTTTAATTTTTCCCTCTCTCCTTCACTTGCATTTTTACTCCTTAATTTACTATCAATTAAATTACGATATTTATGAATAAATAAACATAAGTAAATATAATGTATATGTAAATATAGTAATCTTCCGGTCAAGACTTTCTGACCGGAACCGCCGACTGGACGGCCGGCCCCATTTGAGGTGGTTCCCGGTGGAATAAGCTCAATGTTTTTCAATAATTAATTTACCTGACTTCTCGATTCAACTTTAAGATAAAGTTTTGTGGACATAATATACACTTCATGAAGAACACGACCACACAATTTCATCAAAAATTTCACCGGGAACCACCTCAAATGGCGGCGGCAGGACGGCTGTTCCGGTCATGTAGTCCCGAGAGAACTTCTTTCTCTCATAAGGAAGTGGAGAAAGAAAACAATACATAAGGTGATGAGGATTATTGGTGCAATATACAATCAGCAGTACAAGAACTCATTCAAATCTACTTTCCTCCCCATGCCCTCCACACAGCCACCTCCTCGTTGCCTAAGTCGACCCGCAGGGGCGTAGACAGGGGGTGGCCAACCCTGGCCATGGCCCAACCCAAATTATAAAAATGTCTAAATTTAGGGTAAAAAATTCTGAGTAAATTTTTTTCCAAAAATATTCTTTGTACCAGCCCAATCCGGCCCAGTGTCCTGGCTCCGCCCCTGTCGACCCGCGCACCCGCTCACTTGCTTCTTGAGATAGAGCTTATGGGCTTTTTCTATTTAATGAAATTAGGGTCTGCGAGCATATGAACCACACTGCCCCATCATTGTCGCCGTCCAGTAGCACATCCCCTGCCGCACAGCCGCTGCCACCACCATCCAACCGCACAAGGTTGGAGACAAACCCTAGGTAGGTGGAAGACAATTGAAGACAATGTGTAGTGAATTCTAGGACAGTGAGTAGTAAACGAAGCGAGTAATTCGTATTTAATGCAGTGAATATGATAAGAAGTGCAGTGATACTGAGTATGACAAGAAGTGCAATGATATGACAAGAAGTGCAGTGATTATGACAAGAAATTGAATAATGTAGTCAATTAACATTGACATAAAGTGCACTTATCAAATCTAAAAAGAAAGAAAAAGAACTTTAAATTCCTAACATTTTTTGAATGTCGCGCCATAACTCTGGCATGAAATGCAATATCCCTGACAAAAAGTGCATTATATTTAAGTAGACGTAAAAAATAAAGTTATCAAATCTAAAAAGAAAAAAAGATCAATAAATTCATAACATTTTCATAATGCCATAAAAAAAAGATTTTCGTAATGCCATGCAGTAACGCTTGCATAAAGTGTATTATTTTAAATCGGACGAAAGTAGTGCAAAATGCACTGTTTTTAATAAGGGTATTTTCATCATTCAACGTTTTAAAATCAAGAGTTTTCGATTTTTAGTCATATAAATGTCTAAAAACAAAGCTAGTCATATTTTGGGAAACTCAATATGTTTTTGTCATACCTGGGAAAGTGGATGGAGAGGAAAGTGGTGTGTAGGTGGGGGCGCCGGTGTCATGTTGGAAAAAATAGTACGAAGTTAAAATAGAAACCATACAGTAGAATCACGTGGTTTATCATTCATTATTTTATCTTCCAATTCAAGAGCCTCAGTCACACATGTTCTGTACTCCCTCTAAATGAGCCTAATATATTGTTTGAATCATAAGTCCAAACAAGTACCTCAAGAACATTCATCTTGTTTTTTTACATTTTGTTTCTAACATATCTTGAAAACATTTGAGTAAGAAAACATGTCATCATATTGAACAAACAATATAAACAAAGGGAGATCAACAAACCTTAATTAAGTCTGTTTCCCATCATGAAAGCTTCCATCTCTCCCAACCCAACTGAACCCTGCACCTTTGGATATCCCACGTGACTTCATCAACGCTCTAACCTCATCAACACCATCCCATTTTCCTGCCTCCGCAAAAGTATTTGATAGAGCAACATATGCGCCGGGCCGACCATCCCCGCTTAAATTGAACAGTTCGTTAGCAGCTAAGTTAGTGATCTCCACGTCTCCGTGTAGTCTTCCAGAGCTAAGCAATGCAGCCCAAACATCAGAGTTGGGCTTCTCGGGCATATCTATGATAAACTGCAAAGCCTGGTTTAGACTTCCAGCCCGGCCCAACAAATCAACCATGCATGCATAGTGCTCCATTCTTGGCTTCATCGAATAGTCCTTTGACATCCTTGAAAAGATGGACTTCCCTTTGGCTACTAGCCCGGAATGCGCACATGCTGAGAGAGCACTTAGGAATGTAACGTAGTTAGGTTTCAGATGATGGCTTATGAGCATTTCATCAAACAGAACAAGAGCTTCGTTCGGATACCCGTTCTTCCCATACCCATCAATCATTGAAGTCCAAGAAAAAACATTTGTTTCGGGCATGTGGTCAAAAACACTTCTTGCTGCCTCGGTTTGTCCGCATTTTGAAAACATGTCAATCAAAGCACTCCCGATCTTTACGTGTTGAAAGAAGTTAGTCTTAACTACTTGCCCTTGGACTTGCTGGCCGACTTCAAACGCAACTAGAGCAGAGCAAGCCCCAGTCAGGCTTGCATATGTGGAAACTGTGGGGTTAAATCCCAATCTTTTCATGTGGATGTAAAACTCAATTGCTTTTTTGGCGGTTTTGATGGATTTGCTATAGCCTTCAATCATTGCATTGAAAACAACCTCATCTTTTGTGAGCGTTTTCTTGAACACATCTTCTGCATCATCCATGTTTCCTTGATTCATATAACCGGTAATCATTGAGGTAGAGCAAACAAAGTTGTCTTCCCGCATCAAATCAAACACTCTGCGGGCATAATGTAGCCTTCTGTTCTTGACGTACGCGTCGACCAACACTGTATAAAGCACACTATCACCTTCAACCCCAGACCTTAAAATCTGAGTGTGAACCTGTGTCGGTACCAAGCAACCTTGCAATCCTGCTACATCCAAACAAGTTGACCCTTTCAAGATCATCGAAAATGTGAACCCATCAGCTTTTTCACCAGAAAAACTCTGTTTTCTAACTAAATCATAAGATTCTTGGACTAGTCCATTCCTTATGTACCCAGAAAGCATGTAGTTATAAGCCGAGAGTGTTAGTTGGGGCAATTCATCAAACACCTGGCGAGCATAAGTGATGGAGGATGATTTGATGTGAAGAATCAGGAGCTTGATGGAGATATTGATATTGGGTTTGACACCAGTTTTTAGGATGTGGGAATGGACCTTTTGGCCGTGTGAAGGGTGGTCTGAATTGATGTACTGTTGTAAAGCAGAGGGTAGATGACTTGGAGATGGTGGGTATGAGAGGGGTTTATTCTCTGTTGGCGGTACCAAAGTAGTTAATTTGGTTATTTTAGTACGATTCATCACGACTAAAGTCCTCTGATGTGCTACGGCAAGCGCCGCAGGTTAGATAAAATTGTTTCACTTCTTCATATCTGTACATTCAACTGAACACATGTCAGTTATGATTAGATCTATGGATCATACTAGCATGCTGATTAAGGAGCAAGTTGATGTAATGAATGACTAAAAGTCTAAGATTCATGCATCTAAAATATTTAGATAATTCCCATCATTCATCACGTGCTCTTTAGTAAGCATGCTAGCGTACTCTATATTTTCTCTGTGAGTTAGTGTACTTAGCAAATACTTCCATTGACCGGGTAGGTATGGGATGGGTACATGAATTCTCAAAGTAGGAACCGGACCTTACCCGCCTCGCTTGAAACGGGTCGATACGGTCCGGGTTTTCGGGTATTAGTCATGAGTTATACCAAAAGAAGCCATCTAAAATAGAAAAAAAGACGAAAATAGAAAAGAAGCTACTGTCCAATCTAAAATACAAAAGAAAACAAAAATAGAAAAGAAGTCATTCCCTTCCTGGACAGAGTGTTACTTCAACTGCCCAAGCTACTGTGCCCATCATAAATTCATAACAATATTAACATGAAGGTCTAAGGCTCTAAGAGTCTAAGTTACTGCCCAATTTAAAATACAAAGAATCCAGCCTCCAAAAGTAATGTAACCTAACTTGAAGAAATCATAACTATCAAAGTATCAATTATCAAACCAGTGTATAGCCACTTCATATGGTAAGTTGGCAACATAGGAAACATGTATATAGAAAGTGAGCAAACACAACTCAAATATAGAAACAAAGCTGAAATGGAATACACCCCTTCCGGGTAGCATAAAACTGAATGTTGATTCCCCAGTTACAAACATGGGGATGGAGCAATGAAATTGATCTTACGGTACAGAGTATTGTAAGAAAACTAGAGTACCAAGTATAGGCACAACAAAGTGTAGTGGCTTTTCATTCACATCCCAACGTAAATAAGTATTCACAGATCTTTGATTCCTCATCAGCACCATTTGGCTGCCAACACAAATTTTAAAGCATCTACATTGGCTTTTTTAATAAAGGTCAAAACACCCCCAGAGTGCAAAAAAATAAAAAGTAACATATTGTTCTTTCTTGACTGAGCGTCTTTTTTTATAATTATGCATCAAATACTAGGAACCATATCCCTTGTGCCAAACACTGTCATTGTCAGGCTGCGTATTTTTTTTACATAAAAACTCCCTTGTTCTGAAAATTAGAACAGAACTAGACGAAACTAGAACGCGTTGTAGTAGACTGAAACCTTTGGACTTATACAACAGTGTTCTCCCACAAATGTGGCTAGAAGCTTTTATAAACAATTTGTAAATAGTAAATACAAACAACAACAACAACATTCATGCTTTATTTCCAAAAGATTTTGGGGTCGACTAACATGAATCAATACATCAAATCGGAACCAAAAAGGAAAAGAAAGATAACAAACATAAAAAAGATGAGCTATAAAAAGGATAATATAAAAAGGATATAGGATATGCATAAAAAAAGATTGAATAAAACAGATAAAAAGAATATATATATATATATATATACAACAACATCCAAGCCTTAGTCCCAAACGATATTGGGGTCGGCTAACATGAATCGATATATGATATCACCAAAAGGAAAAGAACGAAAATAAAGATAAAAAAGATAAGCTATTATAAAAAAAAAGATAATATAAAAGAGATGAATATACATATAAAAGATCAAATAAAAAGGATAAAGTAATATTTATATATAAGGATAAAAATATAAAAGAAAAAAAAAGAAAAAAAAGAAAAAAAAGAAAAAAAGAAAAAAAAGGAGAAAAGATGATACAAGATCACTCTTCCACACGAATACCCGCCCTCCATTTTGCTCTCTCCAAAGCCATACTCTCATCCAATCCAAGAAGAAGCATATCACTTCTGACTCCCCTAACCCACGTCTGTTTGGGCCTTCCTCTCCCTCTCTTCCCTACCTCTTCTCCACACATCTCAACTCGTCTGACAGGTGCATCACTCGGTCTTCTATGCACATGACCAAACCACCGTAGGCATAACTCCCGCATCTTATCTTCAATAGGTGCTACTCCCACCCTTTGTCTAATTGTCTCATTCCTCACGCGGTCCTTTCTAGTATGCCCACACATCCAACGCAGCATGCGCATCTCTGCCACACTCATCTTTTGAATGTGACATTGTTTCACCACCCAACACTCCGTGCCATACAGTAATGCAGGCCTAATTGCTGTCCTATAAAATTTACCCTTCAGTCTAGTCGGCATACCTCGATCGCATAGAAATCCTGACACACTCTTCCACTTCATCCACCCTGTTCTGATTCTATGGGATACATCTCCATCTAACTCACCGTCCTTCTGAATTATGGAGCCCAAGTAACGGAACATATCGCTGACCGGTATCTCCTTACCATCTAAAGTAATTCCGCTATTACCACTGCTTCTACCTCCACCAAACTTGCACTCCATGTACTCTGTCTTGCTTCTACTTAGTCTGAAACCCTTGTTCTCCAATGTCTGTCGCCATACTTCCAACTTTGCTTTAACCCCTGATTGCGTCTCATCAATCAATACAATATCGTCGGCAAACATCATGCACCACGGTATATCGTCTTGAATTGACTTTATAAGTTCATCCATGACTATGGCAAATAAAAAAGGGCTCAGAGTCGATCCTTGGTACACTCTGATAGTAATAGGGAACTCCGCAGTCCTCCCTACACTAGTACGAACACTTGTAGTCCTATCCTCATACATATCCATGATGATGCTGATATACTTGCGTGAAATGCCTTTTTTAGTTAAGGCCCACCAAAGAACTTCTCGAGGTACCCTATCATATGCCTTTTCTAAGTCAATGAACACTAAATGCAAATCCTTGTGAGCGTCTCTATACTTCTCCATAAGTTGCCGAAGAAGGTGAATAGACTCAGTTGTTGAGCGACCAGGCATAAAACCGAATTGATTCTCTGAAATATTCACCGTTCTTCGAAGTCTTTGCTCAATCACTCGCTCCCAAAGTTTCATGGTATGACTCATAAGCTTAATCCCTCGATCACTCATAGGCCATGGACTTGGATCTACCAAATGATAAGAATGCCTCTGAGATTCAATCATAAACCACTTTGCCTCGGTTGTATGTAAACCACCCCTTCACCCCCACCCCCTAAAGTAGTAAAGAAGGGCTCTTTGGGGTCTCATTTTATTTATATCTGACAGGACAAACAAATAGGAAGGGATGGTTCTTTCATGGCCTGATCTATACATTGGCCCAGCCCAATGTATATATATATATATATATATATATATATATATATATATATATATATATATATATACATACATGCATACATATATATATAAAGGATAAAAAACAAAAACACAAGCGGTGATACAAGATCACTCCGCCTCACGAATCTCTGCCCTCCACTTTGCTCTCTCCAAATCCATACCTTCATCCAACCCAGAAAGGAGTATATCACTCCTGAATCCTCTAATCCACGTCTGTTTAGATCCATCTTCCTCTCTTCCCTGCTTCTTCTCCACACCTCTTAACTCGTCTGACAAGTGCATCACTCGGCCTTCTATGCACATGACCAAACCATAGCAAGCGAGACTCCCACATCTTATCTTCAATAGGTGTTACTCCCATCTTTTGTCTGATTGTCTCATTCCTCAAGTGATCTTTTCCAGTATGTCCACAAATCAAACACAGCATGCGCATCTCTGCTACACTCATCTTTTGAATGTGACATTGTTTCACCGTCCAACAATTTACGCCATACAGTAATTCAGACATATATGATGTCCTAAAAAATTTACCCATCAGTCCAGTCGACACACCTCGATCGCATAGAAATCATGACGCATTCTTCAATTTCATCCACCATGTTTATGATTCTATGGGATAAATCTTCATCTAATTCACCGTCCTTCTGAATTATGGAGCCCAAGTAGCGTAACATATCATTGACTGATATCTCTTTACCATCTAGAGTAATTTCGCTACCACCGCTGCTTCTACCTCTATCAAACTTACACTCCATGTACTTGGTCTTGCTTTGACTTAACCTGAAACCTTTTTTCTCCAATGTGTGTCGCCATACTTCCAACTTTGCTTTGACACCCGATTGTGTCTCAGCAAGCAATACAATATCGTCGGCAAACATCATACACCACGGTATATCGTCTTGAATTGACTTTATAAGTTCATCTATGATTACGCCAAATAAGAAATGGCTCAAAGCCAATCCTTGATGCAGTCCTCCCTACACTATGAGGGACACTTGTAGTACAATCCTCATACATATCCATGATGAGATACCGATATACTTGAGTGAAATGTCTTTTCTAGTTAAGACCCACTAAAGAACTTCTAGAGGTACCAAAGAACTTCTCTGAGTCAATAAACACCAAATGCAGATCCTGGTTAGTGTCTCTATAATTCTCCACAAGTTGGCGAATAAGGTGAATGACCTCAGTTAAATGAAATGTGAGTTTTCTTACGGGAGAATTTGACTTTGCACCCCATGTTTTGGTTAATATTAGACTTTGCACCCCATTTTCAAAATCATTAATATTTGCACCCTATTTCACTATATAATCATTTGACTTTGCACCTCACTCCTTCACAATTTTTGAGCTAATGGGGTGCAAATATTAATGATTTTGAAGATGGGGTGCAAAGTCTAATATGGCCTAAAACATGGGGTGCAAAGTCAAATTCTCCCTTTTCTTACTTTGATAAGTTAAATGTGATTTTTCTTAAACACTAGTGACTTATTGACTTTCCATCATTTACAATGGAGCCAAAGATTCACTATTTTTTAGCTTGGGAATATGATGGAATAAAGCAAAGTGATTCACTAAACTGTCTGCGCGTCTTTGTTATGAAGTAGTGACTTAGTGAGAAATAGAAAAAATGATTAGTCAAAGAAATAGAAATAGAAAAACTGGAACAGTCATCCGACACCCCTTACTCCACCGAAGGTGGGAGTGTTTGTGCCATTGGGGTAATGATGTTGTTGCAATAGTAGAAATAGAAAAAGATACATATCAATTAATATAGAGTAGAGTATTCCTGAGCCAAATCGCCTTTAGTCTTTGCTATCTCAAGTAGACTATGGCCATCATTTCCTCTGAGCCGAACTCAGCCCCTCCTTGGAGAGTTAAAGATATTTTAATTTTAAAGAAAATCCCAAAATATAGGGGGCAGGGTATTCTCCAGAGAGGAGTTTGTAGAATGTTACTCTCACAAAGAACTCATATCACTATTTTAGGATACTAATATTTCAATGAAGAGAACCGCATCACAACTTTCCCTTCCTAATCATTTCTTTCTTCAAAGGTGCTGATATGCTGAAATATATTCAGCTAATTATAGTTGATATACTGGGTTTTCTTGAGGTCTAAAAGTGCTGAATTATATCTCCCTAAACATGTTTAGCTGAAAATTTTCTGGAGATCCAAATATATTCAGTTAATTTTACAAGACTTATGGAGGTTCTTACACGTGAGAGAACCATTAATCTATGTCTTTGAATGAAATGGATCACAAAGCAACAGAGTAGACCATCACAAACTGGAAAAAGTATGGCAGTACAATTGAAACTGCACTTATATGCATACACCTCAGTAGATTTCACTAAATAAGAAAATTTCGTGAAATTCAATTTGTGGAGACATCATTTTCATTAAGAAGAGCTTAGCCTAGAGGAAATTAGGAGGAAAATTGCGGAATGTAAATAACAAGAAAAAATCAGAGAAATTACCTTACACCCACGTCAACGAGGAGATAGGAGGAGAAGACTCAGAAGATATCCGGAAGAAATACGCCGCAGGGATTAAAGTAGGAATAGAGTGCGTTATATACTCCGTAATAAGCAGTAAGCTGGGGTCTGGGGATATAGAAGCGAAGCTGGATCTAGCAAGTTTTCAATTCTGCCGTTTTAGGATAATTGAATGACTGTGCTTAAAAAATTGATACATGTAGAAGGAAATTGGTGTTATTCATTGCATAGAAGGCTCCCATTAAATAGGGGATAGGTAAGACTTACACTACATGTGTCTCAGGGCCCATTAGTAATGTACAGATATCTCTACAGATATATTCTATCTATAATAATAGCACACTACATGTAATTTCCTATAACACTCCCCCTTGTGCTGAGTTGTAGATAGAATGATATTCTCCATAATGCCTTGTAAGAGCTTCACCAAGTAACTATAAACAATGTGGGAAAAATAACCTTGATTGTAGGAAGAGATGTAATAATATGAAAGTTGTGTCAGACTTCGTCCTTCGAGTCTTTCTTCATTTGATCCTTACCTTGATCAATAAGTATCGTTACCTCATTAAAAAACTTACCAAGTAACAAAACCCAGTGGGAAAAATAAACCTTGGTTTAAGGAAAAGAGTATAACGTAATGGTGGGTAGGTGAAAGACTCCCCCTCATGTCTACACCTCCCCCTGATATTTACATTAATCAGGGAAGCTCGGAAAGCTTTCGCATTCCTATGCTCTTTACGTGTTTTTCAAAAGTGGCCTTGGGTAATGACTTGGTAAACAAGTCTGCTACATTTTCTTCTGAGCTAATTTGATTCACTTGAATTTTGAGCAAGGCCTGTTGTTGCTGATTGTAGAAGAACTTGGGAGATATGTGTTTTGTGTTATCACCCTTGATATATTCTAACTTCATTTGTTCGATACAAGCTGCATTATCCTCATAAATGCAAGTAGGCTCGTCAGTGGTAGATTTTAAACCACTAGTTCCTCGAATATGTGTAATGATAGCCCTTAACCATATACATTCACGAACCGCCTCGTGTAGAGCGATAATCTCAGAGTGATTCGAGGAGGTAGCCACAAGGGTTTGTTTAGTTGATCTCCAAGATATTGCCGTGTTACCAATTGTGAAAACGTATCCGGTTTGAGAGCGGCCTTTGTGAGGGTCAGAGAAATACCCAGCATCAGCAAAACCTACCAAGACATTATTTGGAACTTTCTTAAGGGGGGTGATCATTTTGTCTTTGGTATTTTCTTTTGTCTCTTTATAGGGAAAGAATAGTCCCAAATCACTAGTTCCTTTTAGGTATCGGAAAATATTTTTGATACCGTTCCAGTGACGTTGCGTTGGCGCGGAGCTAAATCTAGCCAATAAGTTCACTGAGAATGCTATATCTGGTCGAGTGCACTGTGCTAAGTACAATAATGCGCCTATTGCACTTAGGTAAGGAATTTCAGCTCCTAATGCATCTTCGTCATCTTCCTTTGGACGAAATGGGTCCTTTTTAGGATCCAAACTTCGACCAACCATGGGAGTGCTAGCAGGGTGCGCTTTATCCATATTAAATCGCCTGAGCATCTTTTGGATATATGCACACTGGTGGATTAATACTCCACAAACTCGATGTTCTAGCTCTAGTCCTAGACAAAATTGAGTTTTCCCAAGGTCCTTCATCTCAAATTCGGATTTTAGGTAACTTGCGGTTTCTCTTATTTCATCAAGAGTGCCAATTATGTTCATGTCATCGACATATACAGCTACAATTGCAAATCCGAAGCTCGTTGTCTTAATGAATACACAGGGGCATAGTTCGTCATTCTTATATCCCTTTGTAATCAAGTAGTCACTTAGACGGTTGTACCACATTCTTCCGGATTGTTTTAATCCGTAAAGTGAGCGTTTCAACTTTATTGCAAATGCACTCCGTGGTTTAGAGTCACTTGATTTGGGCAGTGAAAGTCCATCAGGTACTTTCATATATATCTCTGAGTCAAGATCCCCATAGAGATATGCAGTAACTACATCCATTAATTGCATTTCTAGTCCTTCGGAAACTGCTAAGCTCACTAAGTATCGGAACGTTATAACGTCCATTACAGGAGAGTATGTCTCCTCGTAGTCAATCCCAGGGCGTTGTGAGAAACCTTGCGCCACAAGGCGAGCCTTGTATCTTAATACTTCATTCTTCTCATTACGCTTTCTGACAAATACCCATTTATGTCCCACAGGCTTTACACTTGGTGGGGTTAGCACTACCGGACCAAATACCTGCCTTTTTGTCAGGGAATCTAATTCTGCCTGGATTGCTTCTTTCCATTTAGGCCAATCTGCTCTTAGCTGACATTCTGCAACAGAGCGTGGTTCGATATCATCGTGCTCTATAATTTCTTGAGCAACAGTAAACGCAAATATATCATCGATGTGTATGAAAGATCTTTCCATTAGCACATGTGCATTTTCACTATCCATTGAGATTTCTTTATTTTCTAGAACCATATATAACATCGGAGCGTCCTCCAGTAATGATTCGTGGACATAACTATAATCAGAGATAATCTCATGGGAAGGACGATGTACATCGATGATCAATGGATCAAGTGGTGCCTTACTCGTCTTCCTCTTCCTTGGGCGAGTATTATTCGAACCAAGTGGTCTTCCTCTCTTCCTTTGAGGAGCCACGGCCTCAACCACACCTCCACTAAGTGTAGTTGTGGTGCCTCCTACTATGGCACTATTACCCTTTCTGGGAATATCTAACCTTGCAGGCACATTTGCAGCGGGTATGTGTGATCTAGTCACTTTAGCGATGTCCGTAAATGCATCAGGCATAGAGTCCGCTACATTTTGGAGATCGATTATTCTTTTGACTTCACCTTCACATTGTGAAGTGCGGGGATCAAAATGAGACAAGGTGGGAACGCACCAGGATAATTCCTGTCGTTCTTTTGGAAACTCTTTTTTCCCATCTCCCCCTAACGACGGGAATGTTGTCTCATCAAAGTGACAATCCGCAAATCTTGCAGAAAAGAGATCACCTGTCAAAGGTTCCAAATAACGGATTATAGTTGGAGATTCATAACCAACATATATACCTAATCGTCTTTGAGGACCCATTTTAGTGCGCTGTGGAGGCGCAATTGGCACATATACTGCAGAACCAAATATGCATAGATGTGAAATGTCAGGCTCATATCCAGTTACCACCTGGTACGCAGAAAATGGTTGGTTCGCAGTGGGTCTAAAACGAATAAGTAATGTTGCGTGCAATATTGCATACCCCATGCAGATATTGGTAAGTTGGTGCGCATAACCAACGCTCTAGCTATCATTTGTAATCTTTTGATAGTAGCTTCCGCAAGACCATTTTGTGTATGTACATGGGGAACAGGGTGTTCTACATCGATCCCGATAGACATGCAATAGTCATCAAAAGTTTTTGATGTAAACTCTCCAGCATTATCGAGTCTTATAGACTTGATAGGATTATCAGGGTGGTGAGCCCTTAAACGAATTATCTGTGCTAGGAGTTTTGCAAATGCAGCGTTCCTTGTGGACAATAAAGCAACGTGAGACCAACGGGTCGAGGCATCCACCAGAACCATGAAATATCTAAATGGCCCGCATTCTGGATGGATGGGCCCACAAATATCTCCTTGTATTCTTTGTAAGAATGGGATGTTTACTTTTGTATCTTTAACATAGGATGGTTTTGATCCTGTTTTTGCTAAAGAGCAGGCTTTGCAAAATGATTTGTGTAATTTGGACATCGTGAAGGAGGCATGGGATAATTCTTCTGGTACTTTAGAAGACCCTTTTTTTCTTTGAGTGATCATAGGATCAACACGTTTTAGTGTGTTAGATTTTGACCTCTTCACATGTTTTGATTGAAAGAAAGGATGTCGATGTGAATTTTTAATATACGAATCATCATGTCACGACCTGGGTGTCCAAGGCGGTCGTGCCAAAGCCTGTATGAGTCTATGTCCCATATTTCATTATTAGAGGTACTATAGGTTTCAAAGAACCGAATACTAGTGACATAAAGTCCACTAGATTGACTCATTAATTTTTCTAGAATGCGTTTTCGTCCGCATTCATTAGAAGTAATGTATAAGTACTCCACTCCATTCTCACAATGGGTTTCCACATGAAAACCATTATCACGAATATCTTTGAAACTTAACAGGGTTCGTGTGGCTCTAGGTGCATATAGAGCGTCTGTGATATAAAAGTTTGTACCATTTGGTAGCATAAAACTAGCAGTACCTCGCCCCTGTATTACATGTGATGAACCAATCATTGTTCTCACAGATGAATTATAGGCTAGGAGTTCAGTAAAGAGTTGTCTATTTCTTAAGATAGTGTGAGTTGTCCCACTATCTACTAAACACTCAAGTTCTCCTCGTGTCATCCCTGTATAATGAAGAAGTATAATATAAATTTGAACTGAAAATGATTTTATTTTGAATAACATTTGGATTTCAGAACCAATCCAATTATTTAAATAAAACGACAAGCACACAACGTCCAACATAAAACAAATACGAAAACATGAGTTCGGAAATGCATAAATGTCCATCATAAAACAACAAAGGAATTAAAGTGACTTAATCAAAGTCCGGTGCATCAATTGATTGAGCGGTGTTTTTCTTTCCACCAAAGTCAGCAATAGTGAGGTTGGCATCAACCTCATTTTCTTCTTCAATAACACAATGAGATTCCTGTTCCTTAGACTCTCGGTACTTCTTGTATGCGGCTGCGACTTTATTGCTAGCTTGGCAATTCTTGAACCAATGTCCAGGAGTTCCGCATCTGAAACAAGGTTCATCACCAGCTCTTTCCCGTTTGACCGGAGTTTTTGTGGGTGCCTTACTTCCTTGACTACTAGAGCCAGCACCCACATATCTTCTCCATACTTTGGAAGATCCTCCTCGGGCCATGCCACGACCGCCACGACCACCACGATTGCCACGACCTCTCCCACGTTGGGGATTTTGTCCATGGGAGTAAGGATTGGTACGTCCTTCCCCCTTACATTGGGGTTCTTTCCACTACTCATTTTGCCATAGTGGGCCTCAGGAATTTTCTTTGTCCCGATTGGTCTAGCATTATAGTTCAAAAGAACTTCATTATGCCTTTCTGCCACTTGGAGTTGGACAATTAATTGATTATATGTCGTTATTCTTTTGTT